AAATGGTTAAGAATAGTATAATACAATTTTTTTTCAAGCGAACATTTTCTTCTGATAATGGTCGTGGAATTAGGAAACATTCATTGCAAGAGGAGGCTAGCAATCCAAAAACAGTTTTGAAGAGATATTGAAAGAAGTTGAAAAATCCATTAATGAAAAAATGGAAGGCACAGGTCCAATATTTACCCAAAGGAAAAAGTGTATGTAAGAAAACAATATTCTTCTATAACGCATAAGTGAAAGAGTACTGATTTATAAAAAAGGAGACGCTAATGTACTTTAGTACATAGGAAGATAACCTGAAAGAAAAGGACTTCAGCTTTACATCAAAAAAACTTTGAAAACACCGTATTCCTATTGAAAGACGTCTAAGAAAGGGCCTTCAAGGAAAATCAAGAAATACATTCAGGCTGTACAGATATGGAAACGCATTCAATCAAATGTAGAACACTAATGAAGACTGAACAAAACTCGTACTAGAAAACAGAAAATAATGTCAGAAGGAAACAGGTAACATTTAAAATAGCTGAGACAATCTTGATTGGTTCCTAAGTTACGTATTGTTTGCAATAGTTTTGAATGAAGTGATAAAAGGAGGTGTGAAATTACGAATTGGAAATGGAAATTTCAGACCTTTGCTGTGCCAGTGTCCTGAATATCTTAGCAGAGAATGAGGCAACTTCAAATCAAAACTTAAAAATATAACAGCAAGTCATTAATCTGGTTAAGCATCACTAGTTAGAAGATGCAACATTTTGACTAGGAAAAGATGGACAACACACCAAAATTGTTTCTCAGCGGTGCTTTTTCTGATACCAAGTTCTGTTATTGGAAAATGTTGATATATTCCACTGAAAGCTTGATCATTAATTACATTTTCTTCAGTTCAAGTTAATGCTATTGCTATTGGTCAAAATTCGAAGTTTTACCTCACGAAATTCCATATGTGGTGGCTGTGCTATTAGAAAAAATGTGGTCGTTGGTTGTTTGGTATCTGTGATGTTGCTATGGTTTTGAGGTCATTCGCATAAAGACATCCTTACTCGATTTTCCCTTTGCTGCTAACGGAGGCATTTACCCTTGTTGGAATTGGAATTATTAAAAAAATAATGAATTTTAATGTGTGCAAGTGTAATATATCATTCATGTAACAAATGTGAGAGATTGTGAATACTTCCTAATCGAGCACTTGATCTCAAGCGAGCTATTATAAATGATTGAATTACCGAAAACTCTAATATTTGAGAAAATGGTTTAGGCTTTCGCGACCGAGGTTTTCAGTGTCACTATTTTTCGGGTTTGGATTCCGTCGATTTTTCAAATTCTTCCTTGCTCGCTGGCGCGGATGGCTAGCTTCTTCAGAGGTTTATACATCCTGGTTACTGGATATTACGGCTGCATTGGGCGTATTTATGTTGACTCAGGTAGTTAAGTGTGCTAATAACTGTACCTGGATGATATTCATCGACTCTTTTCTACCTGCCGTCATGATATTTGCTATTCTTGAACTGCTTAGAATGGGATTCCATATTCGGTTGAGATTCACAGCTCCTTTTTTTCTGTTGAAATCATCCGCGAGTTTGTAAATCTCTTCTGCCTCCCGTACTAGTCGGCTATGGTAACCCTGGTTGGGGACAATGAGTTTCTTGTTTTCAAACAGAATCCTGTGGTTTCCTTCACTGAGTGCGTGCTTCGCCACAGCTGACTTGTTCGTTTTGCCTAGTCTGCAGTTTCTTTCATACTCTTTTTGGTGGTTCCAAAGGTGTACCTTTCCACAAGTGCACGGTATGCAATATACTCCTGTTGCTGGATAGTGGGTCTCTTTTGTCTTGGGCCGACCTGATACTTTGTTGTATCTTCTTGGTGGATTTGACCGTTTTAATGTTGTGTTCTCCCAAGAGTTTTTCAATTCTGTCTGTGACCATAAGGATATATGGTAGATACGCATGTACAACCGTCTGAGTCTCCTCCCCGTTTTGAACCGTGAAACTCTTCAGTTTGATGGGCATGTTGATCTCGGGTACACTATATCCTTTCGAACTAAAGGTTACTTGAAGACGTTCCAGTTCTTTCTCCAGATGCTCTGGTTTCTTCGAGCTCGTTCACTCAAAGTAGAGATGACCCCTCGCTTTTGACTAGTATGGTGGTTTGATAGTGCGTGCAGGTATCTATCAGTGTTCATGGGTTCATGATACACTTTGTAGATCAGTCTAAGCGAAAAACAATATTAAAACGGTTCTCAAGAGGGCACAACAAAGTATCAGGTCGACTAAAGACAAAAGAGATTCACTAACAGCAGCAGTGGCATATGGCACATCGTGCACTTGTGGGAAGGTATACATCGGAACCACCGAAGAATCCATGGGAACAAGGCTGAGGGCGCATGAAAGAAACTGCAGACTAGGCCAAACAGACACGCCAGATGCTAGCAAAACACGCACTCAGTGAAAGATTCCATAGGTTTCTGTTTGAAAACACAAAACTTATTGTCTTCAACCAGGGATACCATCGCCCACCGGTACGGAAGAAATAGAGATCCACAAACACATTCCAACAAAAAGAACACGCCGTGAACCTCAACCGAATATGGAAACCCATTCTGAGAAGTTCAAGAATAGCAAACAGCATGACGGCAGGTACCTAATCCAGCTACAGGTATTAGCACACCAAACTACCTGAGTCGACATAAATACGCCTTACGTAGCCGTAATATCCAGTCATCCAATAATAAATCTCTGAAGAAGCTAGCCACTCGCATTAGCGAAACGACAGAAAGAAATTCCGAGAATCGGCGTCCTTCAAACCCGGAAAATAGTGACATTAACGCTAGTATCCATTTATACAATGCAGACGTGAAAAATTTTCCCTCAACTTTTCAACGGAACCAGATATCAAGGTCGGGCAAAGTTTTCGTCAAAAGTCTATTTTCAGTACTCAGTACTAATGAGAAAAACAATATCGTGGCATCACTCATCACCGAGAGGGCGCAATAAACTTTTTTTTACAATAGAAAAGGGAGCTTCGTGATAATTCGATATATATATTTTCAATTCTCTATCCAATATTATTCCATTTTTGAAAATCATACCACTTTCTAGTGGATCATCCGTTTCAAATATCTACAAACAATACGATATTATATCAATGAACATTTCAAAATTCACTCAAGTTCACCCCAATAAAACTACAGAATGTTATCAATTCACTTCCTGGCAGTAATGAAGTCTGTTAACAAATTCATTTCGTACATCATACGTGTCTATACTTCAAATTTCACGAATTCTCACAAAAATCGATTATACTCAAAAATCTTGTCATAACAGGTGATCTAGTGGTTATTTGTTCTGAAGAGACACGTCTGGAAAATTGTCCCTCATTCATGAGTTCTGGATCAGACTGTGGCTATATAACGTATATTATGAGTAGACTAACCCGTTACTTGATGAAAATCAATAACTTTATCCATAAATGATTAAACACGGTAGCTTCATCAGTAGTCATTAATTACTACTACCGATGAAGCAACGGTGTTAGCGAAATGCGTCTAGAAGTAAAAATTGTTCAATTATCATCATGGATAATACACCGTATAAAAAATGTAAATTTTCACGGCCGAAGAAAACTTTATGAAAACTATTTTCCGTTTTTTTTAGCCGTGGTCTGCAGGCTTTTATGCTTGACGTTTCTTCAACTACTACGGTAGACATTATCAAAGGCGATGTGGTAACGATCGCAGTGCCCGGGTTGGTGCTCCCATTGTTCCGAATGCATTAACCACGATGCTAGTAATTGATTCTGGTTTTATATTATTATTAGTGGGCGTGGCTGAACAATTAGTTGAAAACTTTTTTAAATTGCTCATTTATCCATAACGGAAAATAGGCAGACATAGTTCCTCAGAATGGTTCTCAAGGGGATACGTGAAATCCAGGGTGGACGCTAATAACCGCAGTCCTATTCAGAACTCATAGATAGAATAAAGTACTCGCCTAGTGTAAGGAATAAATTCATAAACACACTTCAAAATTGTTAGAAAATGAATGCTGAATAACTTTTACATTTATGTGCAGTGAATTTTGCAGATCTTGAGAGAATATACAATTTTTAATTATAAATAATTTATATAATTTTATATATTTTGGAATAAGACTAATTTGAAATGCGTATATAATAGAGTTGCACAATACAAGTTACAATCACTCAAGTGCTGATATTGTATTATCGCTTCATTAAGGTAATCAGAGAATTATTATATTATATATTACATTATCATTTCATTTCACTGTTGGTCAGGCCCTATCCCCCGAAGCCCCGATACATTTGGGAGGGCGCGCCAGCATTATCAACCAACGGCCACTCTTCACACCGTGGGGTGAGTGATCATTGGGTCCGAGCATTGGGTCCTGAGCAAGCACAGTGAGCCAAAAATGATAGCCTTCTGTATCCGCCGGCTGAGATTTCTGCCTTAGTGTGGCAAATCGGTATGATTTTAAGATTCGAGAGTAAAGAGAGCATCATTCCACCATTATTATTGCTATATTATATATCATATCATTATTATTATATTACATTAAATATAAAATATTTACAAATATTAATTCACATTACACATATCTCTTTTTATATTTCACAAAACATATTGTAATAGACTCCATGTTATATTTCATTCAATTAAGGCTAGTCCGAATTCCAGAAATGAATCGAAGTTGGATAGACGCCCTTTCTATTGAAGAAACCTCTTGGTGAATAATCTCACAGTATGTTTTTTTAATTGAAAAGTACTGAAAATGATACGTTTACTTTGATATGATGTACCGTTCAAAAGTATATGTACCTATATTTTTGTTTCTTGTCTTTCTTTCAGAAAAAAAGTTGGCTTATTTTAGTAAGTATCTGAGTTTTAAAAAAAATTGGTAAGCGATTGGTGTACATCTAAGATGCCTTAAATGTTAGATAATATTTCCATCAGTCGGGCGGTATCTGAGTAACAGTCATTTCAGCTTCAGACAATACGTCTGCCTCGTATGCCGACGATCTAGGCAATGCCATAGTCGAAAACCCGCTAGTGGACGCGGTTAATGGTCAAGAGGCTCACGCTGGCTACGACCACGTAAGCGTGAGCGTCTTAAAGAACAAAGAGAAATCTTCTATGAGTCATAATGTCCACCGTCTTTACCCGGAAGAGGCCGAAAATGCACTCGTAGAGCCTTCTGTTATTCACCAAAAGTATCCAAGTAGGTATCTATATGTGTCCCATTTTGGGGTTGTGCATGTTTTTTAGTTTCTTTTATTTTATTGTGTGAACGTAAAAAATTTGATGTCTACATTATCAGTTAGAAATATACCAACAGTTTTATTTTTTATTTTGATTAGGTACATGATGATGTTTCTACTTTTCAACAAATCAAAAAGTACACTGGTTATTACTGTAAAATGTTTGTTGAATGTCCTAACAAAAAGCCAAGAAATACAAAATCCCAAAAAATAAGCAATGCTTTCGAAGTTATGAATATATTTTGAAATGCCAGAACATGATTTGCAAAAATTAAATTATTTTGAAATAAATTATCTTTTTCTTCTCTTGCGAAAAGTGAAAACATGCAAATATCAAAAATAATGTCAAGTGGATTGAAATGAGCAAAAAATCAAGTACTCCACAGGAGCTCTCTGAAAAAATATCCGTGAATTATAAATTGGCATGAGGAGTGGATGAAATGAAAAGTTATAGGAGTTGAGAGAAAAATTTGAACTTCATTAGTTCGGACTTCCATTGTCTAATCTAATCTGATGATATAAATTGACTGGAAAACCCTGAAAGAATCTATAAAAAATAAAAAGAGTATCTGAAAATATAACAATTATATTAAGCAAAAAGAAACTGAAATTACAATGAAATAAAATACAAGCAACAACCAAAAAATCAAATAAAGTAAACTATTAACACGAGATGAAAATTAAAAAACTATTAACAAGAAATGAAAATCAAAAATTAAAAGATTCCAAACCAAGTTACCTCACGACATTTCGATTGTTAGTATCCACAACCGTCTTCGGGTGATAACTGATTATCACTAGGTAGTTATCACCACGATAATGTGGATCACGAAATATTCTGCAAAAAACTTCGACTATCTGCGTAACCGTAGTCAACGTGTAATTATAAATGAAGATGTATCAAGGGCCTTACTTGTGTCAAAAGGTGTACCACAAGGATCCATTCTCGTACCACTATTATTCAGTATACCTATATATTTCGGACTTTTATAAATCAATGAATAAAAGTACGATACATCACTATG